TTAGTTGATTCGGTTTATCTCTTCATCTCTATATGCTACAGAATGATCGCGTGGAGGAAAAAAAAAGGCGCTTTATGAATGTAGGAGACGAGACAAAAAATAAAAAAAACATTCGAATTCCGTGTTAATTAATATTTGACGTTGGAAACAAACGAGATATATGAAGTTGATTTTTAAGAGTTAGATGACCTCGCCTAGATTTAATTATAATAAAATCAAGCTATTATTTTGTTATAAAATAGCGAGTGAGAAATTATTTAAGCATAATTGCAGTGCACACATTGCACAAACTGCATTGTGTCCGACTTAATTGGATATACCAAAGCAAGTTTTTGCAAGGCACGCTCTTCATCTCCATACAAAAGTCGTGGGGGAGATAATATTATATCATAGGATTATTATTATCCCGCCGTCAAGAGTCGAAGAATTTCGGAAGTACTGTTAGATAATTGAGAATGCCGAAAAGCCGCCATATCTTAAAATTCATCTTCCCGTCAGGTATTTTTTTTGGGGGGAATTTCTAGAATTTCGGCGAATCAGTCGATATTATTCGAGGTTGGAGTAATTAGGGGTGTCTACTCCATTAGTTTCCGAGAATTGTTTCCTAATTAAAAGATGGAGGCATGTAAACAACACAGAAACGTTTGGAATCGGAAGGAAAAACTCGTTTAGTCGAACGTGAAGTCAGGTTGGAGCGAGCGAGGAGGAAGAACGGTGCCGTCATAAAACGTCAATTGGGAGGAAACAAACGTCCGGGTCTAATTCGATTCGTATGTTTCTAAAACAAGCAGCAGCAATCTTCGATTCCTTTGGAGCGGCAATTCCGGTGTGACATCTATAATCGACTGTAATCATCAATTGAACGGAAGCAACCAGATGCCGTCTTTCGTCGGCCATTCAAGGACGATACAATCTTATAAAGCAGCAGTCCACATTTAATTATTATCTGCGGATGATGGAACGAACTGTTTACTGTAAATAAAACAGGTTTTAATCTCCCCGTTCCGTCTGTCAAGTTCTTTTGTCGGAATTTTTGTCCGAAGTTTTGGTCAATTTGTTAGTAGCGTCTTCAATGTTGACAGGTGAGAGAAGAGGTTTCTCTACCTGATGGTTCGGGAGACGAGATAATAGGATTACACTCCAGTGGCAGAGATGCAAATGACTTAACAACCTGCCTTGGTACTTTATTAATTTGTCTCCGTCATCAGCTGGTGTTTTTGGGGGGACGTCACATGGTAGAAAAACGTCTTCCCCATTTCCCTTCCGCTCAGTAATCACTCCATGTCACTTCCTATCACCGTACGGCGAACAAGACGTCGTTTCCAAAGACAGCCTTCTTAGCCGGTCTTCTTGTCAAATTTTAATCCCGAGTCATCATTTTCCAATGGTTTCACATCAGCCACCCAGATCGGCCTGTCTCTCTCGATCCACCAGGATTAACTGGCCCCAAATGCAATTACTAGTGGCCACGGATTTCATTTCCGAGGGATTAGGTAAGAAGGCCAGCACTGGCGGGCGCTGACTGTCTTTACCTGCCGCCCTGGGGGGAGACCAGCTATTCCTGCCAGATAATAAACTTGTTTTATTCTACATCTTGTCAGACAATACTTTTTACAGTCTCTTCTCTTTCGCTCGGAAAGGGCCAACGAAGTGCGATTCCGTGGCTGACGGATAGAAGGCAGCCGAAGGGAGATTAGGCTGATCCAGTCGAAGAGGGAGAACAGCCAGAGATGCGTGCTTGTCTGTCTCTCTGTTTGCCAGCCCCGGGTCAATCTAATCCCCGCTCGACATGCCGCTCCACGCTTAGTCCCGATGTTCCATTAGCCTCGCTTTACCATAGAAACTGCGTGTGATCACACATAATTATCATGCCCATTAGTCGTGTATGTCTGGTCTAGCACGTTCCAATCTGAGCTTTTCGGAATTAAGCGTTTCTTTTACATCACAATCGCCTAATTGTGTCTTCCCCCTTTTTTTCCTGCCTGCAAGAAGCAGAATGCATTACGCGCCGATCGGCTTCGGAGGATGCTCTCTCTGTTTTTTTCTATTTTAAATTTGTCTAAAAGAATTTCTTTTTTTCGATAGATCGACAATGGGAAAAACTCTGCAATATATGTATATATATTTTTCTTAATTTATTCTGAAGTTTTCAATCGAAGTGATTCCCGTTAAGAAGCCGAAAAATCAGATTTAGCCACTCCAACCGGAGGTAGACGGTCGGAGCATGCGTACGACGAGCCAAGAATTTGCGGCAAATCCCGCTCGGTTTGGACCCGGGCCTATTATTGACGAAGTCACTTAAACCACAACATATAATTCGAGGGCATTCATGTGATAATCGTTAGCGAACATAAAACCGGAGCAGACACACACCGCTCGTCTGTGAATAACTGAAAGTTGGAGTTGGTGAAAGCGCCCTCTCAGCGATGAGGATTAGGCCGGGGGGAGGATATTGACTTCCTGCCCGGCTTGGCTCCTTTTTTTTTATTTTCCCTCTTCTCTCTCTCTCTCTCTCTCGTGCCTATCCGCTCGTTCTCGGGGATCCCCGGGCTTGTCAGTGGCCAAACGAAAGGGAATTAGCTGGCTGGTGCGCGTCATTAGAAAAAAGTTTTCACCACTGCAGGTTAGCAACCTTTGTCCCGGAGTGATTGGCAGTGGTATTACGCGGCGATAGATAGATGCGCCCGCTAAACGCCGGCGTTAGGGAAATTTTGATCCACTCCCTCCCACTTTGCATGATTTGTAGTTTTTATTGTTCGATTGGGATGTCCGCATTTGTTCCCGCCATCAACTGAAAATCATCATCGCCTTCCTCCGTCTTTAAAACCTGCTAAGGGATTGACTTTTGTGATTCTACTGTAATGCCGTGCCAAGCCAAAAAATTTTTTTTCTTTTTTCTTTTTCTAAAAACTTCTCTTATTTCTTTCCCGGAAAATTTTCAGTTTTCTTCCACTTCAGTTGGAATTCTCCCAAAAATGATTTTAATAAAGTTATATCTGAACACTTAATTTACGCGGGAAAACCTATTTCGAAACGTCGGAATACCGGCCTAAAAGGAAAATTACATTGATTTTTTTTTTCTTTTGGCAACTTCGACCGTCGATTCACTTCCAAAAATCAACCGATTCAAGGTCATAAACGAAGCTTTTTATCACTCAATCGAGCTTAGATAATCTTCGGCCATCTTTCATCTCGACTTGTCGTAAAGCATTTTCTTTCGAATTAATCCTTATTCATCTACTGTTTTCCCATTCAAATTCGAAGAATTAAAAATAAAATAAAATAAAAAAAAGAGTCATACGCCCCACTTGAAACTAGAATTTATTACGCAAGTTGTTATGTCGGAACCCCGAGGCGGCCATTCTTTAGACTTGACCCGTTTCACTTGACATGGTTACTAAGACATCATCTCACTTTCCGAAACAGAAAGATATCGCGGATATCAAATCAGATTGGTGTCATTAGTCTATCTGTCGATCGAGTAGCCATTTTATTTACTAATTAGATGTACATTCACTTTTTCCATAAACTTTTAGACGGGAGGGTGTGGGAATTAGTTTCGCGCGGCCATTATGACTAATTACATTTTTCGTAAAGTTTGATCAAAAAATATTAACCGTTCCATCACTGACAGAGCGAGTGTGCCTGTCTCGGAACACGTCTCTAGCGTATTGTCTCTTCTAGTCCCTAAGGACTCGAACACCAGCAACGAAATCATATTTTTACAAAATGTCTTTTCGGTTTTTTTTCTCTTGCTCTTTATTTTTGTAGTGTTTTATTCTGGTAGTTGACACGCGATTTTTTTGCTGGAGTTTAATCAATAATGCATTTCACTTATGAACGGGCGATTTCACTCGCCATGTTTTGTTGTTATGCACAATATTTGATTGGAGGAGGAAAAACTCAGTGGAGATATAGCACACAAATGACGATCGGAATTAATTAAGGGATCTTTATCACAAACGAAACAACTTTAGAAGAGGGAAAAGGTAAAAAACTTGCTAAAATCCTTGTTTACACCTGAAGAAAAGAAACTGGCACGTCTGAGTGTTCTTTTCTTTTTGCTGTACTGTCGTCGCAGTTTCTGTTTTTTTTTTCCTGTTTTGTTAAGAGCTGAATAATTTAGAACAGATGGAATTCGAACCAAATTACCGTCCGATTACTCAAAGATTTCGTCCTATTTGATATATTTTTCTGTTGCTATATTAGATAACACGCACTTAATGAAGACAGGGAAAGAATCGCTATTGTCTAAAGGACTGAATCGTTATCTCCTTCTCGTCTGTAGATTACTCTGTGGACGAGATGTCACCGTATCATAAAAAGTCAACTGGTATTTATGACTGATTCCCCGGTAGTAATAATATGTTTACGATGGGATACTGTAAAGACCCCTGAGTATAAGATGCAGTTTGGCCTCAAGGAATTAGCTGCCAGTTGTCTAGTAATTAGTATACTAGTCAACCTTGATGTTTCTCATCTACAACATTCTTCACTAATACAGCCTTGAAGGCATCGCTTGGTCTCGATTGAACGGATCTAGTTAATGAGCGGAAGTAGAATATGTACAGAACTTCGGTACGTTTTACCCGTATTATTTATAGATTTATAAATAAATATAAATATCCGGATTGTAGATATTACTAGAGAAATTTAGAAAATCTCCTCTGACAGTAGACTTCTTTGGCGACAGGTGTATAAATAAATTGCCACATGCCTCCTAGGCCCGTTCTCAATTAACGAAACATCCGTGACTTGTTACAATTAATTCTGCTTACGTGACCATACATCCAAAGATTAAACTGAAATATCTAATATCCACTTTTGTTAATACCATTATTTGCATCAGTTATGCGTTAGTTGGCCATAAGCGGGGCCTACTTATCGGTAAAAGATTACATCTTAAAAGAAGAACGTTGCTCGAAACTGCCAACCCGTTCTTTCGGAAGTCTGGTTTTAAATAATCGTGTTTTTTGTTTTCTTTTTGTTTTTTCTTGCAGGTAAAAGCATTCCCATCCATTGCGTGGTCGAACAAATTCAGAGCTGCAGTCAAGGGGGAGAACCGGTGGAGTTGGACAGTTATGCCATCGTGCCGGGAAGCGCCGTGTTTTCGGACTTAGTTCGAACGGCCCTCATCAAATTAGGGTATTCTTCGTCCGAGGCCGTAGGCGCAAAGGGTAAGAATAAAAATTAAACCGTTTATGCTATTTTATTGCTAATTAATAATTTTGTCTTTGTAGCAGGAAAAATGATAGCCATTCGATTGTTAAAACGTAAATTGTTTAATAGGATTTATTAAGTTAAGAAGTTATTTTGGAAGTCGGAATCCTGTAGGGACGAAATAGTCAAATTAGCTGCTGTTAGTAATCTTTAATAGGATTGAGCATTTTACGGAAGTTAACCAATAGCTGACGAATAAATGTTGTTACAGATCTTAATAATTCATCGTTTCGTCATTCTTATTACTAATATCGGAATATTATTTTCTGGAAATGATTTTTACGCTGTTTAGAAGGAAGGATCTGTTTGATTGGGAGACTTTAATAACATTAAGTGAAGTGAAAGAGTTCGGTGTCAAATTTATTCTTTCTTTATTTCTACGTAGTATTTCTTGTGCAGAAAAGAGTAAAAAAGGATACCGCTTTTATAGCTTTAATCCTATCCATATATAACAAGACGGTTGTACTGTAAACAAGACGGTTGTTTTATCTCGGGGATTTTTCTTATCAGTATTTATTTGGTACGGAAACACTTAAATATCAACAAGGCGACAATTAGAGAGAACCGAGATAGACGAAAAGCCAATATGTTTTTGAATTTTGCTCCGGTATCCGTTTAGAATCGGCTCCGGTAACTGCGGCGAATCACTTTAATATGAAAAGAAAAAGTCTGCAATATATTCAATAGCTCGTCAGCTTAATCAAGCGAGAAAGAGCTTTGAAATCTATGCATTTTATAAGTTGTAAGGTTTATTCTGACTCACTGTCGCATTTAAGAAAACTGGGAAAACAAGATTGTTACCGAAATACTCTTTTGCTTTATATATATCACTAAAGGTATCAAATATTTTCTTTTTCTTTTTTTCGTCCAACAGTCTACTGGGAACAGATCTTTCTTTGTTTGCCATCTAATCAGATATGCACTGTTACAGTTCTTGGAAGAGTCAGACTTACAGGATTAGGCTACCCTTCTCTACAGGATTCGCTCTTTCCATCTCTGGAGTTTCCTGCATGCACGTCCTTAGTTGCCACTTTAATACTTACTCCAGTCTGTTCCGAGAGGAGATCAACAAAAAAAGAAAAAAAATCTAATCTTTAGACTACATTAGAGTGGAGATGGAAGTTTATGAGCTTACCAAAGAAGCTGCTGCTACATGTGTGTAGAGCCCTGTCAAGGAGTTCTACCGCAGAACTGAGGAACAGCAAGGTGCCCAAAGCAGCTTTACTGTTAGGTCCATGTTTTATTTAAGGCTGGATTAAGCACAGGTCCTGCTGCATGCCAGCTTAGGCAAAGCAGGGAGCTGGTAGTGGAGAATCCCAGCTTAAGGCCTGACACACGTCAGGTGTAAGAGGATTAGGGGGAGCCGGCATGCCAAGGGAAGTGACAGCTCTGTGCTGCTGCTGTCTTATCACACCACAGCTGGAGATGCATATGTAGACCGACAAGTAACTTTCACTTAAACAATGTCCCAAGTAGATGTATTTTCGGTATTTACTAGTAAAATCACCTAGACATTTTTTCTTCTCGTTCTTCGATGCGTTTTCAGAAACCAATGGTATTTCGATCGACTAATCAACATGGTCAAAAATCTGCAAATCCTTCTTTAATCTTCTATTTATAAAAAAGTCGACGGTAGTTCTTGTCGTTGCGTACCAACATCCTGTTAGTTCGGGGTAATTTTGTTTTTTATGTTGGGATTTTTTCATCGGAATTCGCGATCAAGACGAAAATGAGTTAATGGGATTCTTTTTCTATTCTTTTAAGAGCCAGCTTAACTTTCCGGGAAAGATCTTGGTTTTTTTCTTCTTTGACAGATGGCAGCATTTAATTTATTAGAATGATAATGTGGGATTTTGTTTACTGTCCATATGTTGAGCTACAAAATTTACACAGACTACATTATTGTTGGTGATTTGTCATTTGAGTAATTAACATGCCTGTCAAGTAGATGCCAAATAAACAGAAAGTGCCCCAGTGGACCGGGAGTTGATTATGCAACTTGCAATGACATTACAAACGGAATCTTTTTGCTGTCACCTTAACGCTTCCGTCTCTCTTTTCTCCCAAATGTTAAGCGATTACTCGCTAAAAATGGTGTGCGTTATGACGTTATTAGTGCAGAGTTTGGGGACAGATCTTCCCGGTTTATAATCAGGTTTTCAATGGAAAAACACGAGTCCAAGTGGGAATTGCGCTTCCCACCGTCAAATGCTTCTCGTTAACGTCGTGTCGCTTAAATCCTCGTCTTGTTAGCGCGTCCGTCTTCCGACTTGACCACCGATTGACCCCTTTTGGGCCGCTCCGTCGACCGTAAAATTAACCCACTTTCGTCGTTAAACACTTATTAACGGGCGACTAACGAATTCGCGCTGCGCATCTTGTTGTTTTAGGGGAGGGGAAAAGACGGAGAAAACAGCGTTTGTTTTGTCTGCCCTACAGAAAGGGGAAGGAAAGAAGTAGGGCACGCGTCAATAGGGAAATGGACATTTCGTATAGAGAAACGCTAGTTTCTTCTAAAAGATAATCGAAAGTTACGGAACGACGCCGGTTGTCGTTCCATAATAAAAGCCTCAATGAAACTGGAAAAGATAATTTTTTCCCATCCATACTAAAGAAAAAAAAAAGAAGTTATATCTGTCTATTCAAAATGCTATATTAGTTTCTGATGAGATATTGAAGTGCATCGCATACAGCACGCACGGTATACGTGTGGCATGATACACAATACGCTTTTTGAATGATAAATCTTTCAAAATACAATCATAACAATGGACAAATGAAAAAAGCAAAAGTGCGATCTGTTGATTGCAAATATAGCCGTTTGCAACTAGTTATGTAACGGATCTTTTTTCCTATATCTATGTATATACCTTGTATATATATATATATATATGTATATATAGTTATATAAAGTTTTTTTATTTTTGCGAAAAAGAAAAAAAAAATAACCGATTTGAATGCATTATTTGCAAAGTTATTTTTCTACCGGTGCAGACTCGGAATAGTGTTAATCTTAACGCTTGACAGTTGGGCAAATAATGAATAAGGAGCCAATCTTGTTTGAATTCCGAGAGGATTTCCGCGGAAATTCTCCTTTTGACAAGGTTATGTCATCTCGACTGACAAAATGTGGAAATAAGGAGGAGGATAACAAAACTAATTCTATAGAAATTTAAAAACAAAAACGACTTAAACAATAGATAGCTTAATAATAAACGTACCGTATCTTAAAGATTTTTTTTTTAAACTATTATTATTATTATTATTACTGAGCGATCTTCTTTTCGACGTAATGCGGTTTTGAATATGCATTTGATAAAAACTTAATTAAAGCGAATTATAATTTATTTTGTGTTTTAGCTGATTAATTCCATGCAATAATTAATTTGCCAAATATTAAATACAGTAAATTAATCAGGTAGATTGTTGAGAAATTCCAAACCGTGTAGGGTGGAAAAAAAAAAAAATGTGTGAACCCGTTCGTCGGTCTGTTCGTCAAGCTCCATTCATTAGCCTGTGCCATTTTGAGGCTAATGATCGGAAATCAACTAAATATCGTTTTCACGCTGTTTAGGAATTAAAAATCTTTTTGTTATCGGAAAACTTTCTACCTTTATTTAAAATATCTTTTCTTCCGTTTATAAAATTTAAAATTATAAATGCAAAAGTTGGAAACTTCTGAATTGTTATTTAAATATGTTTATGTATATGTATGTTTACTGTACATACATAAAGTCGTAAATAACTGATACATTCAAATGTTAACATTTCAATACACTTTGCATTATCATTTATGATCATCCTTCAATTTATTAAAATTATTGCCTGTTTTATTATATAGTTCCTTTTGTGATGACACTAATTTTAATTCTTATTTGATAAAGGAATGAGTAGACCTAATTCATATTTCCGGTAATGATGGTAAAATTAATGACTGTAGCAGATACAATTATTCAATGAAATGAATATATTAAACCACTAACAAAAGTTCAATCAAACCATTACCATCATTGAAAAATACAGTATATTCCATCCCTTCCATTCTTTATTACAAGAAAATATGAATTTATTTATATATATATATATATTATGGTAATGCATTTATTTAAAAAAATCTTTATTGGATTGTTTTAAATAATAGCATGGATTGATAAAGATGATAACTCATTGATTAGTGGGGTGATGACTGGTTGATCAGTCAACCAGTCGTCAGTTGACTAATAAATGTTAAGTTTGAAATATCATGTGTGAAATTGACTGATTGGATTATAACAGCCAAGTAATATCAAACAACTTTCCTCTAAATGGTCATCATTTAACAATTGAGTAAAGATTGATGATGATAACTCTCCCAAATATTCCATGCTATGAAGATATATATTACATATATTAATATATTTGGTCCAGAATAATAGTTTTTTTTTTAAATAAAGGAGATTAAATTTTACATAAAATATGAGTTTTTAATGCTAAGAAATTATTGATAGTTATTTACAGTAGATTTTGTTTACTTTTTCTTCCATACCAATTAATTATAATTTCAAAAAAAAAAAGAATGTTTGAAATTTGTATGTATTTTTTAATGGATATTAAATATTTGAATTATTTATTTACTTAAAAAAATATGAGTTTTTAGAATATATAATTTTATAAAAATATGTCTAATTAAAAATATTCAAATAAATAAATTTGACAGTTGCAAAAATTTATTTTTACAATTAAAAAAATGATTTTTTTATGACAGTTAAATTGTATTTCATAATTATTTGTGAAAGTTATTGAGCAAGTTTTAAAGTTTATATCGTGTAACAATTTATTAAATTCTAATTAATTAATTATAATAATAAAACTTTGATCAGGAAAATAATTATTTTTAGTAATCAAAAATACAATTTTAAAAAATTTTATTTATAACAATTTATTTTTTAATTATACAAAACAATTTATTTATATGTTTAAATAGAATCTATTATTCTTATTTATTTAGTTTTTCTTTTGTTTATTTGCTTTATTTGCTCTGTTTTTCTTATAGGTGCTATACATATTAAAAATTGGAAACCGCTGACTCTGGACCAGATTACTGAATCACCAGAAGCTACCGTGGCTGATATTTTAGGAGAACTTGCATCTGTAGCAACTCTTCATATTCGTCTCTATAGGTGTCTAATAATTGCTTAATAACTTAAATATAGCATTATAATAATTAAGACCTATTTCAAATTTTCTAAAAAAAATAATTGCTTTTTAGATTATGGTATTTTGTATTAAGTTTTAGAGTATGTCCTATTGCAATGCATGAAATTTGATTTCAGTCGACCCAAGATGAACACGGCTAATGAAGTTAAAGAAAAATTACTTCAAGTGCTTTTGGCTCAATCCCAAACTCTTTTAATCAACTCAGGTTGTCCTATTGACCAAGTAAGAAAGTTTTTACAGATACTGTATTTATAATTTCTAATAAAATAAAATAATTAATTTTCATAAATATTGGATTAATGGGTTTAATTTTTAATTATGTATTGCATAGCATTATTAAATTTACATTTTATTTTATATTAGATGCATCTGTAATTTTTTAAAAATATTTTTAAAGTAATTAAATAAACAGCAATGCACGTAACTATTAATTGATTTTAAAATATGCTAATAAAGTAATAGAATAGAGAAAGAAAGAGGGGGGAAACAAAATAACAAAAACAAATTAATTCAAAAAAATTTAATTTAACATAATAGCTGCAAATATTTAACATTTAATTGTCATTGAGTAATTAATAGAAACAAAAAGAGAATATAAATAAATGGTTAGTTCTTACTAATATGAAAAATTTGCAATGTCCTATTTCAACAAACAGCTTAGTTGAAAGAAAGTTTTTGTCATCTATTGAAATTCTCTGAAGAGACTTCTCTCTTTTGTGTCCAGTCTTGTGAGAAATGAGCTCAGTGTGCATTCTCTGTGAAATCTAGAGACATGTTCCCCCTTTTACGCAGTGCCCTACTAGATCATCGCTTGAGTGATAAGCCGAGGTCTGAGTAAGCGACACAGTCTGCTGGGGATGGGATCTGATTGTTGATGTTGGGATTAGAAAAGCCCAACTCTGAGGAGTTTGTCGTTCCGGCCAGCTTACTCTAGAGTGTAGCAGTCTGTGTCTTGGTGCTGTGGGAGAAGTCATGACTATGAATACTCAGTACGACTGCATCAAGGAGGAGGATTAACTTCAAGGAGAAGTTTTTGTTGTGCTACTTGCCAGGTCTTGACTGCCAACTGAGTATTTTATCATGCATGAATGCTGCCAGAGCCTTAACTTTCCACTGCAGACATCGAGAACTATAGACTAATCACAAAGAATTAGGCTGTTGGAAAAGAATTCTACCTGCTGTGATTACTCGGCATGATTTGTCAGCAGTCGCAGTGAGATGCACTAAGCTCTCCAAAGACTTTTTTTGCTATTATATTGTTGCCAGTTGTGAAAAAGTACACTTTGAATCTATTGAACTGGAACTACTAAAACAAACCATATATATTCCAAGACTTATTATTTTGAAGTATAATGACTTATGTTGACAAAAAGTCTCGATCTCTTAACTTTTAGTGACTGCAGGGGAAAAGAATAAAAATCTTAGATTTTGAAATGCTATAATTTTTCAGAATAATTATAAAAACATTAACTTGCAATTACAAGTTTATTTTGCATAAACTTAATTTATTATTCTTATTATAGAACTAATAAGACTTTTTATTTGATCAGTTCAGAATTAAAGATTTGAAGTCATTCCAAAGAACTAATCATTTATGCAATAAAAGAACAAAGTATGCAGAAAATAAGTAGTGATAAAAATTAGTAATGATGGCCCATGTACACAACCCTGCTGTTTACTAAGCCAATCTGCTTACTCCATAATCTTGCAACAATTATACAACTGCTTTCTCTCAAAGGTTTCCATCTTTCAAAAGATGCTAATTACATAAACCTGATCAGTTATTCCACAAATTTTAATATCATTATACTCCTCACATGAAGGAGAATTAATTCTGTAAACATTAGTTCCTTTTTGTATGACATAGCTCAGTTCCCTAGCTTCACATCAGTAGGTGTAATTTAATCTTCATTATGGGGGATTACTTTGTACTGAAATTTCCTTTCATCAGTGTGACCAGGATAGAATCCTTGTTGTCGGAACTTTTGATCTGCAGATGACATCTCATCCCTTAGGCTTGGCTGAAATTCATACATACTCCATTCATAAAGGAAATAGAACTTTTAAAACATCATGATTATAATCTTTTGTCAAGTCTCAAAACAAAAATGAAAAATTTCAGTTTTATAAAAATAGAAAGAAATGTTTATGAAAATCACATTACTGAGATTAAAATAGATTGATATATCTTTCAAAGTATCAAATTCCATTAGTATTAAGAATTTTTTGTTACTTTCAATATTTTAATTAAAACTAAGTTTTAAAAGTAAAAATTGATGACTTGTAGAAGTATTTGAATTCTTAATAATCAAACACAGCATTAATATATCTGAGTGATGACAAGTTAGGGCAGAAGTTTCTCAACCTAGTGCCTGCAGGCAAAGGATTTAAGGTACCCATTTAGAAGACTTAGAAAAACTTGTATAATTAAGTAAAGTGATTTTTTTTTTACTTTATTAAAAATAAAATACATGTATATTTGAATTTCAAAAATAATTTATTTAAAATAAAATTATTTATTATTGTTTTTTTTTTCATTTTTTTAAAATATGAATGTACTTTTAATGTGTTTTCATATCAAGTTTTAAGAATTAATATTAATTTACACTTGTGTCATACAAGCATATTAATCTTTTTATTTGATATATATATATATTATTTATGCTTTACATAATTATTTTTTTACTTATGATTTATAGTTTTCACTGGAAAACATTAGGATTGATATAATAAAAAATATTGAATAAACATAAATTTTTAATTTGTTATCAAAATTTTAAAAATAAATATAAATGAAAAAATATCTGTAGTGAACTGCTATTACAATTTATTTTACTTCTTAGTAAATATTATATCATTTGTTTTAAAATTTTTTACTTAAATTATTTTGGTTGATAAAAATGAATTGAGATTCTGTTATTTAATGAATAAGTATTGATCAAAATTCTTCAAATGAGCTCAGTTTTGGATATAAAATATAAATTAGTTCTGAAATATTTTTATGTAAATAATAAATTTTAATGTTATAAATTAAATACATTTACTATATTATAGTTTATTACATTTAATATTACATTAAAAAAACAAAAACATAACAGTTTGTCAAATTCTGCATTTATGATTATAACATGGCCTTAATTTGAATATTTCATAATTTTTCATATTTAGTTATATATGATCATTCAAATTTATATATAAAGTGTATGAAAATTACTTTATATATTTTTTGAAAGAGAAAAATTGTACAAAATATGTGTTAAGTTTTATTATTTAATAAGTTCTTTTTAAGTATTATTTTTTGATAGTTAATTGCAAGATAAAAATTATACGTATTGCAAAACCAGACGTTCCAGTAAAATAACAAATTAACAATTTAACTTTTTATTGATATTAAATTGTTGTTTTTTCCTCCTTTAAAACCTGTAATTTTTGCATTATATAATTATAATGTAAATAATAGAATTTTTTAATATAATTTATGTTATAAAAAAGCAATATCAGATCACATTAACAGATCTGTATATAACTGAAAATTTTTAATTAATTACATTCATCAATATTTAAAACATTATCTGAATTTTATTTTGAAATATTTCATCAATTGCTTTGTTAGTATTTATTAAATGCGTCATGTAGATGGCACTTCAATCAGATTCATATATAAGAGAATTTATAATAATTAGTTTTACATTAATTTTATTTGTCAGGAAAATTAAAATTTATTATTAAGTTAGTTTTTGTGTACTGTAGTGTAGTAGTATGAATAAATATAAACAAATAAATATCTATAAATTCCAAAAAAATAAATAGTTTTAAAGTTGGATCATTAATCATCAACTAGTCAAATAATTACAAAGTAATAGATTGGCTAAATTGATAAAAGATTTATAAATTTAAATAGAAAAATTATTTTTATAATAACTTATTAATCAAATGAACTTATTTATATAGGTCTTTAATATAGATATAATTATCTAAAAGGATGTACGGTATTTTACATAAAGTACAGTACAATTTAATATATAATATACTGATCATCTTAAATTTTCACATTTTTAATATATTTATAATTTAGTATATATTAATTATTATAGTTAATTAATTTAATTCTTGTTTCATTCAAAATTAAATTTGAAAAAATGCTTAATAAATATGGTAAACTAAAATATAGTGTTATTATTTTGTTAGTTTAATACATGCAACACTACTTTTTTTAATGGCTTTAAAGCACCCTGAACAATGAATTGTGAAGAATCTACAAAAATGTGTAGGTCTAAAGATCAATTAAAACTTTCAGATCAATAGAAACGTTTGAAAAGATTTAATATTTTCATTGTTTTAACGATGAAAACTCTTGGCTAATTTTAATGCCTCCAATACAAGAGGAAAATTCTTTCAATAAAAGTTTCAAATTTATTAATATGACTTGTTTTCATCAGTTAATTTTTTATTCTCAGTATATTTACTTTATACAGTAGAGATTTCTAACATGTTATTTAATAGTTAAGAACATTTTCTTTTAATTTAAAAATATTTTACATTTGATAATTAATCAGTTGTTTCAAGGAATAATTTGTGTCATTATTTTAATTATTCTTTTCTCATGAAATTTAACATTTTCTAAATAAAATAAATTTTTACAGATAAAAAATAAATGTAAGCAAAAAAGTAAATAAAAATATTAATCAATAAATTTTTGACAATTGGTAATTGACAAACATGGTGATTCTCTGATTCTCACCATGTTTGTCAATTACAAATCTTAAATAGTAAATAATTTGTGATTTGAAGTTTTAGGAGATTAAATGTTTTATTTTAATAAGCAAAGAATTGAAACATTTTTAAAAGTTCCGATGAAACTAGGATTTATATCAAATGTTTAATTATGCCAATTTCAACATATTACTATTTTGTAACAGAGACAGAACTAATATTACAGTGGTTACATTTAATAACTAATGATTTAAACATTTTATTAGCTACAATCATACTGAATGTATGTTTCTGTTATGTTTAATAGAATAAGCATAACCAAAATATAAGATATGCTTTTTAAAGTAAAATAATTGTTACCCATCATTATTTGATTTTAGTTTAACTTTTTACAATATTAGTAAATTTTTAGCTTGTCATAATATCACTTAATATAGTAACCAATCTAACTATTCTTAATTTCCATTTCAGTGTCATTTCCTATTAATTCTGCTCTATTTTGTTTTAAACTATTTTTATAATGAACTGTAAA